TTACAATACAGATAAAACTTTTCTAGTTTAATTGAAAGAAGTCATTACTATAGTCGACATTGATTATAATGCAGCTGTTTGTTTGTTTAGTTAATGAAGTTAGTAAATGGCTTCGCAATAATATTATAAAATATCATTAACCTGCAGATTTTTCATTTAATAACTTAATTTAAATTAAGGACAATGACCTCAGTAATAAAATTCGTTTATTGCTCGGACATCAATTGTTTTGTTTGTATACAGTACCATCCAATTTACTATGCTATTCATTTACTTTAATGCTTATGCAATTCTGAGTTTAGATTACTTTACTTATTGTAAGCAATTACTTATAATTATTATGTATGTGATACTACCGATTAATTTAATATAATTACAATTAATAGAATTTCATTAAATGTTTTCTTGTTTATATTTAAGGCAATTTGTTTATGGGAATTCCGAATTATTTTTCAGATTTAATGAGAAGTAATTAGCTCTTAGAAATTACATAATTTTCTTTTGTTGGAAATTATTTTAGACAATTCTGATTAGACTTTTTTCAAATTTACTTATTTACATAAGAATGATTACATAAATATGGTAATTTAGTACGTCGAATGCGCCATTTAAGCATGTAACATTTGCTCTTTTGGCCATACCATATTTGTTATTGATACTTTTTTCTATATTCTAATGCGTATTTTAAAAAGTAATTTCTTTTTCGGATACAAAACACTATCTTCTGAAGTGGAAACTGGAAAGGTGTGCCAAATATGACAGGTTGTCACGTTCGACACACCTTTTTTCGAATTATTGACTACCACAGAGATGTATTCTTCTATATATATTTCCCGTCTTACAAGTTAGTATTTTTCAAGAAACGACTGTTTTTCTGGTAAACGCAATAATGCCAGAAGCAGCTGAGTTGGTGGGGGGATAAAAATGTCTATTAAACAGTCGAGAAATGTCCAACTTCAACGTTTATTTGTTTATAGATAGAACATCTACTTCGAGAGTCCCCCCCCTATAAAAGAGGGTAGGCCAATGGCTTTACGGAAAATGACGTTTGTAAGAGTATTTAAGTAGCGAGTTATAGCCTAAAGCGCATTTAAAACATCAATACTGCGTTTTCATCTTAGTGCAAGATAAAGACATGAAAAAGTCGATGCGATCTCACGAGGGGGGGAAAAAAGACATTTTGTAAAGCCAAACATTATCGTTTAGGTATTGGGCACATTAAAAATAAGAAGTTAAAAGGTAATGCGTTAAAATAAGAGGGATGAATGTATCTAAAAAAAGCGAAATGGAAAACTGTAGTTCCTCTGGTTTACCAGAAATCGATTCTTTTTTTTTTCTGTTTAGACACTAAACAGGTGTTGACACTTCTTAACAATACCCGGGTCTCGAGTTCTTCGGCGCAGAACTCGAGGCACTTAAATTAATAAACATCTACTTTAATGATAAGCAGTGGGTTATTATATGGAAAAAAGGGATAACCCCACTAACAGAGGCCCACTCGTAAAGGCCTCCAAACCAATCTCATATAAACACATTATTGTAGTAAGAACATGGAAATATGATAGACTCTAGATCGCAGTGTTAAAAAAAAACAAGAACAAAAATTTCCTCTTCGAAGGGGAAATTTTTTAGGGCCTCCTAATTCAAATTTGCCTAGACCCCGCATCACCAATGATGGTAACAATTGAAGTGTTTTTGTGATAAAGAAAAAACTAATGTACCAGAAGAGTGTTTAACTCATCGAAAACCGAAAAAGTGATGGATGAATCGTATCTAATAACTGCGGTTTTGTCAGATAACACGGATAAACGAATCACAGATATATTGTGACAGAAGAGCGCTCGATACAGGGCTATTGTTCTGATAGAAACAGGATGAATTTTATCACGTGACTGAAGCATGACGTTTATTAAATAGCTTTATGCAAGATTTCTATTCGTGGAGCGTATAAAGGAAAATTAATTTATATGCAAGGTGTAGCATGTAAGAAGGTTTTTCATTTGCAGCTGTCACCATTGTACGCTCCAATGATTCCGAATAAAGGCATTGGAAAAACATTTATAAAGCAATACTTCAACATACTCTTTACGGAGGGATGCGGCAGTAAACAAAATTTTAAAATTTATTATTTCTTCTATTCTTTGGTAATTTATTTATTATTAAAGCGTTTTGTTATAAGTGTGTAGCAGTTTAACATACAAAAAATTAGATTAAAATACATTTTTCAGCACGAAATGGTTATTTATCCCGGGGGAAAGCACAGCAATCGATCAAAAATGCCCCCCAGAATTTACGTTTTTTTGCACTCGAAGGACATTTAAACGTCGAGAAATGCAAAAAATTTGGGGTTTTTTCTGTGATTATGGATGTTAGTGTGTGGGGGGCATGAATTTGTTCACCCACTCTTAATAACTTCCGTGCTTTTCGGCCCACTAGTGGCCGAGTGGATAAAATCACTAAACACTGGTCGTGGGTTCGTACCTGAACAACTGGCTGGCCATACGCAGTTTTCAGGGTTTTCTTCGCGATAGTAACACCTAAATAAGGGCCAGTTTCCCATAAAAGACCTCGCGAGAGACATCCCTCCTCGGCAGATCATCACCCACGTGTCTCTCTGTCGTATACGAATAAAACCAAACCCAAACCTGCTCCTTTCGAACATTTCTGAAATTTTGCAGGGAAATTTGTGTATTAGAGGGAAATGTTTCTAGAAATTTTTAGGAAAATCGGACGATTGGTGATACAGCCCCACCCCGTTAATCTCTCCAACCAATTCGAATACTTCAATTGTTAAGGACGATAACAAATAAAGAATGGCGGAAAAGTCCAGCAACATCTTTTTAATTTATGTAATAATTCAAATTTTAAATTATCTAATAAGAATTATTTAAAATATAATTTATCGTGACAAATTTAATTTTCAAAATAACCTTTTACTTTATTTAAATATTCCATCGTTAATAGACACAATTTGCTTAATTTGAATAAATTTAATTAATCAAACTTTAAGAACAATGATTTAATAATCTGCACTTTAAATGGTACCCGTTAATTGAGATGATAATTAGATATCACTCAATACGAATATAGCTATTTAGGGCCTATTATTATTATTATTATTATTATTATTATTTATTAATTATTATTATAATTTCCATATTTTAAGTAGAACAAAGGCTTCATAGAATCCGTAGACTGTCGCGTACGTAAGCTTACATTCTTGATAGATATTTGAAATTCTTAGAGTTAACAGGGGAGAAAAAAGCGCTGCAAACTTATTTGTAATTTTAATGTAACAAAACAGAATATAATAGCTTTATTTGGCGGAATTCTCTTTTATGTTTCCTGGCCTCATAGGAACGCATTTAAACAGAAAATCGAATCCACCCAAACGTTCAACGAAAGCATGACTATTAGCCATAAATGTAGCAATAAAAAAATAATTAAACTATGTACTGATGTATATATATCCACTGTATCAAGTACAATAATATATGTATTATTCAGCAGTTATNATTGCTCTAGCATTAACGACGCGCTACGAGAAATCCAACGCATCAAGCGCATCGCCACAGCCCACGGTTTCAGCAGTAAGTTTATCGATAGGCTTGCGCAAAAAACTCATAGATGCTTAACAGCCGGAGATGCCACTTCTAAACCTCTAAAGCAACAAGGTAAGCGCATTACCGTCGATTTTGACCCTAGAATGAGCCAGGCCTATAACTTCATAGCAAAAAAGGTCAACGCTACTCTCGCATACAGACGCAACCCTACGATTTATAAACTTCTAGCTAACACTAAGGACAAATGCAGCGAAGCCAGGAGACCAGGAGTCTACACCGTCCCATTGGAGGACGGCAGATCTAACCCGTGCAAGAAGCTAACATACATTGGCTCGACCAATAGATCGCTTAAAAAGAGGATAACTGAGCACAAGTACGACGCATACAGCAAAAAATTCACTTAATATCCATCAATTGAGCCATTATAAATGAAAGTGGTATAAGTCCATTTTTGGAAAAAATAAGTTAGTGATGGTTTCAGTGAGACATAATGTCTTTTTTTTATATATTTAATAACACAGTCAATGGTGTATAATATTCTAATAAATTAATCAAAATAATAATAACTGTAAAATGTTATCAAAAGAGTTTTTTGTTTGAAAGTGCAATAAGTCCATTTGTAATAATCAATAATAATTATTGATGCAATTAATACAATTAGTAAGTCAACTGTATACAATGTTTTGAGATCAACAGACAATGTTTCTTTCATCAAAATAAAGATAGTCAACCAGCGCAAGGAGAAACATAAACAACTTTGATTATAGTTTGCCTGAAACAACTTTGAAAGAGGGTGCAAAGTAATTTTCTTGCAGGATGGTGAAAAGTAGAATCTCGATGGACCTTATGGTTTTAAGTATTATTGGGCAGACAAAAGACTAGATCAAAAGTAGTACTCAAAGAGAATAGCTAATGGTGGTACACTCGTGACTTTGGTGGGAATTGGATAGAATGGAAAGACAGATCTAGTATTTATTGAAGGTTGAAATGTATCTGGAGGCAGCTCCAAACTTATGGACAGAAAATTGCTAGACAGACAGGACTTTGAATCCATGCAGGATAATGCAAGCTTCCTTGTATCAAAATCAATGTTATCCTTTCTTCAGAGCATGAACAATTCAACGTTTGAACTGGCAACCCTTCAACGCAGATTTAAACCCAATTAAAAATCTTTGAGGTGGCTTAGTTTTTCAAATGCATAGAAGTGGAAAGCAATACAAAACCATCACTGAACTGAACTAAAGGCTGCTCTCATTGAGGCAAGGGAAAATATTCCACTAAATATCCTTCATCTACTGTTCGGCATTCTGTAGAACTGATGTATTCTTCGAGCAACTTAGTGTATGTATGTTTCTTCATAAGAACAACGTTTCTGCTTTTGTCTGCTCTGGTAAGGGTTATTTCGTTAGTTTGGAGCCATTCTTTACTTTTGCTTACATTTGTCCAGAATTCACTATCCTTGTTGTCTGTTTGCTTGACTCTTTTGCTGAGAGCTGTGTTCCACCTAAAGAAATCCTTATGTTGAGTCTTAATTGGCACAAGCAGCCTTTCAATGTTCGGAATGATGGTATGTGCTGAGATCTTCGAGGGCTTCGGAGCAAACATAAATCCTAATTTGAATACCTGAACCATTTCTTCTGGAGGTTCAATATTGTCCCAGCAGACGATCGGATTCATTAGCCTGTTTTTGTGCGGCTTCTTCTGGTTTTTCATGATCCAAAGCATTTTCTTGTCATATCTCTTGCGAAGTGACTGCTGGACCTGTTCTTGCAAGTTTATAACTCTAGAGTTGACGAACCCCAGCAGCTCCGGGTCCGTATTAAATAGAGCGTTCTCAAGATCGATTAGTTTGTGTAGGTTCGCATACATAGACTTCCTGGTGTTCCGAATTGCTTTTCTAAGGCAGACAAATCTGACTTTTGGGAGTAGTGCTCATTCTTCACCTTCAACCAACGAATCTATCTTCAAGAAAGGGGGAGTACCTATGGGTAGCCCCCTCTCTGGAGACCTCTGCGAATTAGTTGTAAGAAAACTCGATAACCAAGTGTTACAGTCCTTCAACGCGGAAATCGTTCTCTATACGCGCTATGTTGATGATATTCTTATCATCTGGAAGTCCAAGCCGGATCTGAACACCGTTCTTCAGATTGTGAACAACAACCCTTTTGGACTTAAGCTTAAATTAGACCAGCAGGATGACAGGATGGCCCACTTCCTGGACCTCAATATCTTCTTGTATTTATATTTAGAATATATATCTTAAATAAAATGAATGAAATAATTTGATTGAAAATATGAAAGATGATTGAAAAAATTCTCAATGCTAATTAATGTTAAAATTTAATAAAACAATCCAATATGAACTTCTTTTGTCAGAACAAAAACATTGAGAAAAATACTGAATTAGCTTTAATTTTGAAAGAGCTTTTCCAACAAGTATATTAAAAAAATTCAAATCTTTCTTTGAAAACTACTATGAAAGTGCTTAATTGGGATGGCCAGATGGCTGAGACACTAAGAGCAACAGTGTGTTGCTTTAGGGACACTGAAATTTTTAATCTGAAATTGAACAAAAATTTTTCTCAACCTTCATTATGTACTGTATATCAGATTCTATCCTTTAACATTTCAGTTCTCTATTGATTATCAGGTGAAACTTATGATGGGCATAGAAAATAGATCCTCTTAGCATTCATGGAGCAGAAAATATCAAAAATTTATTTATTTAACACTACCACTCAAAACTAGGTATACTTGAATTAAAACCACTAAGAAAACCTAAAACCCAGCAATTTTTAAATAAGTGCCAATAAAAACATTAGCACTTATTTAAAATTTGCTGGGTTTTAGGTTTTTTTTTTAATGGTTTTAATTAATTTATTTATTTACTTAAGTACAAAAGTAATGTTTTTAAGTACAAGACTAATATCCATCATTTTTAAGCGATCTATTGGTCGAGCCAATGTATGTTAGCTTCTTGCACGGGTTAGATCTGCCGTCCTCCAATGGGACGGTGTAGACTCCTGGTCTCCTGGCTTCGCTGCATTTGTCCTTAGTGTTAGCTAGAAGTTTATAAATCGTAGGGTTGCGTCTGTATGCGAGAGTAGCGTTGACCTTTTTTGCTATGAAGTTATAGGCCCGGCTCATTCTAGAGTCAAAATCGACGGTAATGCGCTTACCTTGTTGCTTTAGAGGTTTAGCATCGGCATCTCTGGTTGTTAAGCATCTATGAGTTTTTTGCGCAAGCCTATCGATAAACTTACTGCTGAAACCGTGGGCTGTNGGTGCAAAGTAATTTTCTTGCAGGATGGTGAAAAGTAGAATCTCGATGGACCTTATGGTTTTAAGTATTATTGGGCAGACAAAAGACTAGATCAAAAGTAGTACTCAAAGAGAATAGCTAATGGTGGTACACTCGTGACTTTGGTGGGAATTGGATAGAATGGAAAGACAGATCTAGTATTTATTGAAGGTTGAAATGTATCTGGAGGCAGCTCCAAACTTATGGACAGAAAATTGCTAGACAGACAGGACTTTGAATCCATGCAGGATAATGCAAGCTTCCTTGTATCAAAATCAATGTTATCCTTTCTTCAGAGCATGAACAATTCAACGTTTGAACTGGCAACCCTTCAACGCAGATTTAAACCCAATTAAAAATCTTTGAGGTGGCTTAGTTTTTCAAATGCATAGAAGTGGAAAGCAATACAAAACCATCACTGAACTGAACTAAAGGCTGCTCTCATTGAGGCAAGGGAAAATATTCCACAAGAATGACTGCAATCTTTGAATAATCAATGTGCAATCACATATTTCAGCTTGTTTCCAAAAATGGTAGTAAAATCAGCTACTAATTTTAATTTAAAGATATCACAAGTCAAGATGCTCTATTAACGTTGGACATTCTATTTTTGCTAATAGTATCTAACTCTTTCATTTATTAATCATTTTTATCCAAACTTGTGCAATAATTGTTGATATCTTAGTATAAAATGTACTCAAAAATATCATTAAAGTTACATGAAAATAATAAAGAGTTTCTAGCAATCACTATGTTCTATTACTGTTGGAAGGACTGTACTCCTCCAATTTATCATAACTACTTTACTACAGTAAATGTAAAAGTGAAATAACATTGAAATCTAAATAAGTTTGTTATTACTAGGTATCTTAACAAAGTAATTTACTTTTTATACTTGTTTGTTTATACATTCTTATATAATATAACTCAAAATATTTCTGACAAGTTAATAAAAGTTGATTATTTGTCTACTTATATGTTATCATTTTTATTATTATTTTTTACATTAAAACGAGCAATTATTTATTGTGACATTGTCACAATGCCAGGCTGCAGTTTTACACAAATCATATTTTTAGTTTAATTTAAAATATATGCTCTCCATTTCAAATTAGTGATGTATTGTCTTTGTATATTATACTTATCCTGTTAACAATAGAGTTGTGCCAGTCATCTATCTAACACTTTTAGGGAAAACTTTTTTGAATTGAAATAATGTGAGTTCCAGTTTGCATCAGAAAATCGTATATAGTTGATTGGAGCCTCCTGCCCCTAAACTTTCCATATCTGGTCTCTGCTTTCATCCTTCTATCCATTGAAATTTGAAAGAAGAAGATAGAAAAAAGAAAAAACATAACTCTTAAGACAAAAATTAAAGAAAAAAGACATTGCTCTATTAGCCTACAATTTAAAAAAAATATGTTCCTAAATATTGTCACTCACACACAAACTTAAGTTTGAAAATTTTCAAAAATATATTTTAATAGTTAACTGTTCATAAGCATATTTTAAATTTTATGTAAAGTTTGAATTATAATCTTTACAGTTACTATTACATCTGACTAATTTTATCTACAAGTAAAGATAAAAATAAATTTTCTGCACAGTAAATAAGTTCCTATCATTTACTGTCAAAAAAGTTAAAATTTAAATACTGTTTTGAATATTTATTTATTTTTTATAATTATTAAAATAATAGATTATAAGGGCTGGATGGATGAGGTGGTTAGAGCATCAGCTTACTGCTCTGGGGTCCTGAATTGAATCTCAGCAGAAGAATTTTTCAGAGATAGTTTAACTCAGATAAGTCAAGTCCTGTCTATTACCACCCAGCTATTCCATTATGGGCCTGACTGAATCCATAATGGGTCTAAAACAAAGGCACTCTTAGTGTCCACAGTGGAAAAAATTTGTAATAAATCTATAATATAAATTAAAATAATTTAATGTACAATTTAATAAATAATAGTAAGGACATTATTAAAATTATGAGTTATTAATATTTTATACCTGTAGGACGTGTAATTCCTAAGACACCAATTTCTGCTAATTTTTTGAAAATTTTGTGAGCTGGATAAGTTCCTTCTTCCTCCCATTGATCCACATATGGATTAATGTCATTATCAATAATCTGAAATATTTGTTTGAAATTTTAATAAATATCATTTAGTTTTTACTATATAAAATTAAAGTTTAATTTAATTATCACTCTGATTTAAAAAAAAAAAACTTGAGACATGTTTTGTAAATATAAATTTTACTTAATACATAGAAAAATACATGCATCCTCTACTTACTGTTAGTCATTCATTCCTAAATGACATTGTTTTTATTCTGTGTATAAAATCCAGTTTTACTTTAATTTTCAAGTGAAAAATAAGATTCATCATCTTAATGTAAAAAATTGAATTTTACAGCAGTTTTGCAGCCATGATTTTCAAAAAGGTTTTACATTTGTCACTGTTATTGTTTAGCTGTTGATTTTGAACAATCAACTTGATGATATTGGATGATTTCATTACTTTTCAGGCATAAGAAGAAGAAATTTCATACTTCTGAGCAAGTTTTATACAAGATTTTTTTCTATGTGTCATTGTTTTCAAAAACAAAAACACACTACTTATTCTTACTCCAGCACTTGAATTTTAATATAATCACAAATGTTTCCGGCCCCATTTAGGGGCCTTCATCCAGTAAGTGAGCCATTCTATAAATCAAAAAGTTATGGAATTTTCTATTTTTGAAAGTCTTATACATGCTATGACTCAGTTAAAAAGTTTAAATTATTATATACTTTAATCATTTATAATTTATAATTTTAAAACTGTATCTGGTTAAGTAAAGAATAATTTAAAAATTTTTTAAATGTGTCATAGCACATATGGAATATTCTGTTTTCAAAAGTCTTTATAATTTATTTGATTTATAGAATGGCTCTCTTACATGATGATAGCCTCTAAATGTGGCTGAAAACATTTGTATTTATATTAAAATTTGAGCGCTAGAGTAAATATGAATGGTGTGTTTTTGTTTTTGATCAACAGTTCTAGCTGTTGTGTGAGTTTAGATGTTTTCAAAAAAATGTGTTATTTTTTATGAGTATCTTTTCGTTAATTCTACTAGATCCTGGAGTTCTATTCATTGTTTGGCCATTCTTCAGTTTTTTCATATCATAAATAATTTGACAACCAATTCTGAAATTTTTTACAACAATAAAAATCTGGTTTACTGGAGTATTTATATAAACCTAAGCTATCAAGTTTCAATATTATTCTTTGTTGGACTAGAATATCTCAAACATGATGCAACCTATAAAAATATTTCTTATACAAATGCAGATTATCTTCACTTAGCAATTTTCTAATGGATATTTCAAAACATTCCTAGTGCTTTAGTACTTCAAACTTAAAATACAGATTTTTAATAGCTGAGAATTTTTTGCAAACAGTAACCATATTATACCTTCTTACAATGACTTTTGGGAATGAGTCATAATAATTATAGCATTTTTATTGAGTTGGTAAGACCAAGCTAATATTGATATTATTATATGAACTTTCGTATACTATACTCTGTATTTTTAATATCTATATTTTTTTATTTTTCTATCAATAATCATTATCTTTATAAATAGCAATCAAATAAAAAAAATTATCTTTTGAATACTTTATGGATTTGAAATAACTTATCAGAAATAGGCAAATGTTTTCTTTTCAGAAAGTAATGATTTTAATAATTAATTTGTGATATAATCTCCAAAAGAAAACAGTTTGGTTTGTTTACATCTGCAGAATTTGTATCTGTTGCAAATTGAAAATCCATAAACTATTCAAAAGATAATGTTTTTGATTTGCTGGCTGTTTATAAAGATAATGATTATTGATAGAAAAATAAAAAAACTACAGATATTAAAAATACAGAGTACAGTATACAAAACTTCATATAATATTGCCCAACACAAAGATAGCAAAAGAGAATCATTTTAAAATCTACTATAACATACAAAATATCTAATACAAAAAACATCTTAATTCTGAAAGATAAAAACTGATATTGCATTAATTAATACAAAAACAGTTAGCTTTATTTTGCTAGAATACATGGTTAAAATATCTTGGTCTTAGTTCAACATTTGTGGAATCTATGTGCATGCTTTCTGTGCATTTTGTCTCATTTCCCCATAAACTATAATCACTTTACATCTTCACATGCCTTATACNATTTAACTCTCATGAATAATCTATCCATTAATAAGAGAAATGATAAGTAAATCTATCTTTTAACTATTTTAAAAGTGCAAATATAAGACTTTAATACATATAAAAATTGCTTTATTAGAGCATATATCAATACAATTCTGAACAGTTATAGTGATATAGACTTAACCTCAGAAAAATATAATTGCATTCAGAAATTGCATTGATATATTTTATATTTGTTAAAGTTAAAAAGGAGTAGTTTTGTTTATTTGAGAAATATAACACTTAATTATCACTTCATAAAATTATTAAATGAAGCACATACTTTACTAATGCTGGCATTGTTATCTCTGTATGAACTATAATTGACATAGGAACACCACCACAGTTTATATGTGATAATTCTTCAAGGAAAGCAACAGTAAAAGAATAATCAAGTCCAAGTCCTCCATATTCTTAAAATTGAAAAAAATATATATAAATATGACAAACATATAATCCTGTAATTAGCTTATGTTAAAATATATGTTAATACTCAACAAAACAATTTCATAACTTCATTTTAGTTTTTGTTTCATATATTAATTTGTTTTAATATATGAAATTAGACTATCATTATTTCATTATAATATTAATCAGTAAATCAATATAAATGCAAAATTAATTACACGTAAGAACATATATCAAATGATCTGCTGGATTTTATTATGCTATAATCAGGGCTGTGGAGTCGGAGTCGGAGTCGTGAGTTTTGATGTTTTAGCCGGAGTCAGAATTGTCAAAAAATCCGCCGACTCCGACTCCTTTTTACTTACCAACTTGTTATGTATATAAAACAGAAAAGTATTGGAATCATGTCAAATTTGATCCTCCAAGTTTTTTTTTTGCAAATCTACACGTTTGGAGACCTCCCGAACCCCCCAAAAAGTCAATAAAGGGGAAAAATTCGCATGCGTGTGTGTTGGCATCTAATTTGTTTAATTTCTTTATTTTCTGTTCTGAGATATTAAACAATATCTCAGAACGGGTAAAGTTTAAGAAACGAAATGTGGCACTGTAGCTTGCGTATAAAGGTGCATTATTACTATTAAATTTTGGTTCTTAATTAAAGGTCGACAGGGTAAGACATAAAAGTGGTCATGTGTCATATCTCTTAATGAATATTTTATTCGTTATTAGCGTTCAAAATTTAATAAAATAAAACTCGTCTTTACCCTCAAAGTAAGCTTTTTTTACCATTTTATAATAGTACAGTAAAACCCGTTAAGATGTTCTCGCTTAAGATGTTAGAATGTATATGGGGACATGATTTAGTTCAATCACTTTGACTTAAATAACTAACTCCTGTGTTAAACCATCCAACTCGTATTCTGACCACTCTGACCACAGAAATTATTAGGCTTCAAACAGGGTGAACGAAATCATGCCCCCCCACACACAGTCTAACATCCACACATATAGAAAAAACCTCGAATCTTTTGCATATCTCAAAATTTCAAGGTGTCCCAAGTCCAAAAATGTAAACATTTGGGAGGGATCATTTTTTGACCGAGTGCTACACTTTTCCTCTGTTATATATCACAGCTGGGAAAGTAAAAATTATCGAATACATATTTATATATTACTTAGAGAAGTCTTTTAGCTTTGGAATAAAAAGTTTCTACACTCTATCTTTATTACAACTCTATTTATTGAATATTTTATTCAATAAATCATCAGAATTTCGTGATGACATCAGAATTTCCGGGTTTCTTTCGGTAACAAGTCTGCCCCTAGTCGGAGTCGGAGTCGGATGGTAAGGAAAAGTCAAAGTCGGAGTCAGAGTTGGAGTCGGTAGATTTTTACGCGACTCCAAAGCCCTGGTTATAATATACCTACATTAGCTGTGTACTGTACATTGTGGCCATAATAGTTTGACAATCCAAAAGATCATTTGGTATTAATCAAGAATTGAATTATTTCATATTTATATTTAGAATATATATCTTAAATAAAATGAATGAAATAATTTGATTGAAAATATGAAAGATGATTGAAAAAATTCTCAATGCTAATTAATGTTAAAATTTAATAAAACAATCCAATATGAACTTCTTTTGTCAGAACAAAAACATTGAGAAAAATACTGAATTAGCTTTAATTTTGAAAGAGCTTTTCCAACAAGTATATTAAAAAAATTCAAATCTTTCTTTGAAAACTACTATGAAAGTGCTTAATTGGGATGGCCAGATGGCTGAGACACTAAGAGCAACAGTGTGTTGCTTTAGGGACACTGAAATTTTTAATCTGAAATTGAACAAAAATTTTTCTCAACCTTCATTATGTACTGTATATCAGATTCTATCCTTTAACATTTCAGTTCTCTATTGATTATCAGGTGAAACTTATGATGGGCATAGAAAATAGATCCTCTTAGCATTCATGGAGCAGAAAATATCAAAAATTTATTTATTTAACACTACCACTCAAAACTAGGTATACTTGAATTAAAACCACTAAGAAAACCTAAAACCCAGCAATTTTTAAATAAGTGCCAATAAAAACATTAGCACTTATTTAAAATTTGCTGGGTTTTAGGTTTTTTTTTTAATGGTTTTAATTAATTTATTTATTTACTTAAGTACAAAAGTAATGTTTTTAAGTACAAGACTAATATCCATCATTTTTAAGCGATCTATTGGTCGAGCCAATGTATGTTAGCTTCTTGCACGGGTTAGATCTGCCGTCCTCCAATGGGACGGTGTAGACTCCTGGTCTCCTGGCTTCGCTGCATTTGTCCTTAGTGTTAGCTAGAAGTTTATAAATCGTAGGGTTGCGTCTGTATGCGAGAGTAGCGTTGACCTTTTTTGCTATGAAGTTATAGGCCCGGCTCATTCTAGAGTCAAAATCGACGGTAATGCGCTTACCTTGTTGCTTTAGAGGTTTAGCATCGGCATCTCCGGTTGTTAANGAGTTTTTTGTTTGAAAGTGCAATAAGTCCATTTGTAATAATCAATAATAATTATTGATGCAATTAATACAATTAGTAAGTCAACTGTATACAATGTTTTGAGATCAACAGACAATGTTTCTTTCATCAAAATAAAGATAGTCAACCAGCGCAAGGAGAAACATAAACAACTTTGATTATAGTTTGCCTGAAACAACTTTGAAAGAGGGTGCAAAGTAATTTTCTTGCAGGATGGTGAAAAGTAGAATCTCGATGGACCTTATGGTTTTAAGTATTATTGGGCAGACAAAAGACTAGATCAAAAGTAGTACTCAAAGAGAATAGCTAATGGTGGTACACTCGTGACTTTGGTGGGAATTGGATAGAATGGAAAGACAGATCTAGTATTTATTGAAGGTTGAAATGTATCTGGAGGCAGCTCCAAACTTATGGACAGAAAATTGCTAGACAGACAGGACTTTGAATCCATGCAGGATAATGCAAGCTTCCTTGTATCAAAATCAATGTTATCCTTTCTTCAGAGCATGAACAATTCAACGTTTGAACTGGCAACCCTTCAACGCAGATTTAAACCCAATTAAAAATCTTTGAGGTGGCTTAGTTTTTCAAATGCATAGAAGTGGAAAGCAATACAAAACCATCACTGAACTGAACTAAAGGCTGCTCTCATTGAGGCAAGGGAAAATATTCCACAAGAATGACTGCAATCTTTGAATAATCAATGTGCAATCACATATTTCAGCTTGTTTCCAAAAATGGTAGTAAAATCAGCTACTAATTTTAATTTAAAGATATCACAAGTCAAGATGCTCTATTAACGTTGGACATTCTATTTTTGCTAATAGTATCTAACTCTTTCATTTATTAATCATTTTTATCCAAACTTGTGCAATAATTGTTGATATCTTAGTATAAAATGTACTCAAAAATATCATTAAAGTTACATGAAAATAATAAAGAGTTTCTAGCAATCACTATGTTCTATTACTGTTGGAAGGACTGTACTCCTCCAATTTATCATAACTACTTTACTACAGTAAATGTAAAAGTGAAATAACATTGAAATCTAAATAAGTTTGTTATTACTAGGTATCTTAACAAAGTAATTTACTTTTTATACTTGTTTGTTTATACATTCTTATATAATATAACTCAAAATATTTCTGACAAGTTAATAAAAGTTGATTATTTGTCTACTTATATGTTATCATTTTTATTATTATTTTTTACATTAAAACGAGCAATTATTTATTGTGACATTGTCACAATGCCAGGCTGCAGTTTTACACAAATCATATTTTTAGTTTAATTTAAAATATATGCTCTCCATTTCAAATTAGTGATGTATTGTCTTTGTATATTATACTTATCCTGTTAACAATAGAGTTGTGCCAGTCATCTATCTAACACTTTTAGGGAAAACTTTTTTGAATTGAAATAATGTGAGTTCCAGTTTGCATCAGAAAATCGTATATAGTTGATTGGAGCCTCCTGCCCCTAAACTTTCCATATCTGGTCTCTGCTTTCATCCTTCTATCCATTGAAATTTGAAAGAAGAAGATAGAAAAAAGAAAAAACATAACTCTTAAGACAAAAATTAAAGAAAAAAGACATTGCTCTATTAGCCTACAATTTAAAAAAAATATGTTCCTAAATATTGTCACTCACACACAAACTTAAGTTTGAAAATTTTCAAAAATATATTTTAATAGTTAACTGTTCATAAGCATATTTTAAATTTTATGTAAAGTTTGAATTATAATCTTTACAGTTACTATTACATCTGACTAATTTTATCTACAAGTAAAGATAAAAATAAATTTTCTGCACAGTAAATAAGTTCCTATCATTTACTGTCAAAAAAGTTAAAATTTAAATACTGTTTTGAATATTTATTTATTTTTTATAATTATTAAAATAATAGATTATAAGGGCTGGATGGATGAGGTGGTTAGAGCATCAGCTTACTGCTCTGGGGTCCTGAATTGAATCTCAGCAGAAGAATTTTTCAGAGATAGTTTAACTCAGATAAGTCAAGTCCTGTCTATTACCACCCAGCTATTCCATTATGGGCCTGACTGAATCCATAATGGGTCTAAAACAAAGGCACTCTTAGTGTCCACAGTGGAAAAAATTTGTAATAAATCTATAATATAAATTAAAATAATTTAATGTACAATTTAATAAATAATAGTAAGGACATTATTAAAATTATGAGTTATTAATATTTTATACCTGTAGGACGTGTAATTCCTAAGACACCAATTTCTGCTAATTTTTTGAAAATTTTGTGAGCTGGATAAGTTCCTTCTTCCTCCCATTGATCCACATATGGATTAATGTCATTATCAATAATCTGAAATATTTGTTTGAAATTTTAATAAATATCATTTAGTTTTTACTATATAAAATTAAAGTTTAATTTAATTATCACTCTGATTTAAAAAAAAAAAACTTGAGACATGTTTTGTAAATATAAATTTTACTTAATACATAGAAAAATACATGCATCCTCTACTTACTGTTAGTCATTCATTCCTAAATGACATTGTTTTTATTCTGTGTATAAAATCCAGTTTTACTTTAATTTTCAAGTGAAAAATAAGATTCATCATCTTAATGTAAAAAATTGAATTTTACAGCAGTTTTGCAGCCATGATTTTCAAAAAGGTTTTACATTTGTCACTGTTATTGTTTAGCTGTTGATTTTGAACAATCAACTTGATGATATTGGATGATTTCATTACTTTTCAGGCATAAGAAGAAGAAATTTCATACTTCTGAGCAAGTTTTATACAAGATTTTTTTCTATGTGTCATTGTTTTCAAAAACAAAAACACACTACTTATTCTTACTCCAGCACTTGAATTTTAATATAATCACAAATGTTTCCGGCCCCATTTAGGGGCCTTCATCCAGTAAGTGAGCCATTCTATAAATCAAAAAGTTATGGAATTTTCTATTTTTGAAAGTCTTATACATGCTATGACTCAGTTAAAAAGTTTAAATTATTATATACTTTAATCATTTATAATTTATAATTTTAAAACTGTATCTGGTTAAGTAAAGAATAATTTAAAAATTTTTTAAATGTGTCATAGCACATATGGAATATTCTGTTTTCAAAAGTCTTTATAATTTATTTGATTTATAGAATGGCTCTCTTACATGATGATAGCCTCTAAATGTGGCTGAAAACATTTGTATTTATATTAAAATTTGAGCGCTAGAGTAAATATGAATGGTGTGTTTTTGTTTTTGATCAACAGTTCTAGCTGTTGTGTGAGTTTAGATGTTTTCAAAAAAATGTGTTATTTTTTATGAGTATCTTTTCGTTAATTCTACTAGATCCTGGAGTTCTATTCATTGTTTGGCCATTCTTCAGTTTTTTCATATCATAAATAATTTGACAACCAATTCTGAAATTTTTTACAACAATAAAAATCTGGTTTACTGGAGTATTTATATAAACCTAAGCTATCAAGTTTCAATATTATTCTTTGTTGGACTAGAATATCTCAAACATGATGCAACCTATAAAAATATTTCTTATACAAATGCAGATTATCTTCACTTAGCAATTTTCTAATGGATATTTCAAAACATTCCTAGTGCTTTAGTACTTCAAACTTAAAATACAGATTTTTAATAGCTGAGAATTTTTTGCAAACAGTAACCATATTATACCTTCTTACAATGACTTTTGGGAATGAGTCATAATAATTATAGCATTTTTATTGAGTTGGTAAGACCAAGCTAATATTGATATTATTATATGAACTTTCGTATACTATACTCTGTATTTTTAATATCTATATTTTTTTATTTTTCTATCAATAATCATTATCTTTATAAATAGCAATCAAATAAAAAAAATTATCTTTTGAATACTTTATGGATTTGAAATAACTTATCAGAAATAGGCAAATGTTTTCTTTTCAGAAAGTAATGATTTTAATAATTAATTTGTGATATAATCTCCAAAAGAAAACAGTTTGGTTTGTTTACATCTGCAGAATTTGTATCTGTTGCAAATTGAAAATCCATAAACTATTCAAAAGATAATGTTTTTGATTTGCTGGCTGTTTATAAAGATAATGATTATTGATAGAAAAATAAAAAAACTACAGATATTAAAAATACAGAGTACAGTATACAAAACTTCATATAATATTGCCCAACACAAAGATAGCAAAAGAGAATCATTTTAAAATCTACTATAACATACAAAATATCTAATACAAAAAACATCTTAATTCTGAAAGATAAAAACTGATATTGCATTAATTAATACAAAAACAGTTAGCTTTATTTTGCTAGAATACATGGTTAAAATATCTTGGTCTTAGTTCAACATTTGTGGAATCTATGTGCATGCTTTTTGTGCATTTTGTCTCATTTCCCCATAAACTATAATCACTTTACATCTTCACATGCCTTATACTCATGAACACTTGTATTCATAACTATAATGCCTTCATTGTCAATAGTGTAATGTTGCAACTAATTAGCAGACTGTATAATGTTGAATTTTTTATAAGGACATTGGCTTTATGTGTTGTCATGTGATTTGTGAAGTTCACAGCTTTAATTTGTATTTTTTTTTAAATTTTTGTTTGAAAAATTTATATATTGCCATAGAACTTCTGCACAATTTACGCCCGTTTCTTGTTTAATTAATTAACTTATACATATTATCATGCAATACTGAAAAGAGTAGACCAAGTTCTTATGCTATTGGTTTGCTAAATTTTAATGACATAAATTTGAATTTTTCAGATATTCTATTTGAAACATTCCATTATAAAACTTATTTCTTTAAACCTGTTGCAACCCTCAGGAGATGAAAAATGTTCACATTTCATTAAAATATTATGTTGAAAGGACTTTGGTTTGTGTAGTGTATTTAGTGACAATAATACAGTAAAACCTGATTAACTCAAATTCCTTGAAATTTTTAAATTTAAATTCTGAACTCTTTTCCCCCAACCAATTCAAGTTAACTAGGTTCTATCGTATTAACTACAAATCTTTAAATTACAAAATAGTTGCTATAAAACCCTACAAATTACAACTTCAAAATAATTAGCTAGAGGAGTTGAGAGGAAAAACCTTAATTGCTTAATCTAGATATATCTCAAAATATTATGCAATGTATGAAATTCCTTTTCATTTTCTATATTTTATCCAATAAGTTTAGAAACAGATATTTATTTCATAAAATTAAATACAGCATTTAACCAGTATGTATTTTACATTTAAAAAATTTAGTATCCTGAATCATTTCAAACACTTAACAGAGTACCTATACCTATATATATACTTGCATATAGTTAAATAATAACTAATTTTATATTCTGTGGTTTATTTTATTACCTTCCTAACGCTTTTCCTCATTTCTTCGTGTTCTTGAGTGAACTTAATACTGACTCCATACTCACTACTTCTACTTGACGGGGTTATATAAAAAAATCTTCTACTTTCGTTCCTCGTAACTTTTGCAGATAAACACTGTAAAAATCTAGCAGACTGCCTTTGCACAGATCGATATTTAAACATTGTTGAACGAATTAAACGAGCTTTAATTAATGAAAATAACAACAACAGATGACTTACGAGTAATCGTTTCTTAATCAAGTAATAAGAAAAATTATCATACTATTATCGATAACAACGTGTTAAAAGTTCAACCACGTGATTTTTATCTTGTAAACAACTAAACAGTTCGACCACGTGGTTTTCAAGATAACGTTTGCTGATTGGACGATTTAAAATTTAAATTATAATTCCTAAAGTAATTGATACATACTTTACAGTTTATATATATATTTAACCTATATAAATTTTAATATTTTATATAATGTTAGAATTTTTTTTGTGAATATAAAGTTATTTTTTATTCTGAATTTGATAACCGTTCAATGAACTGTGATTGTAATCACTTATCTTGATTGTAATTATATAATCATGAAGATTAAGCCAATATAAATTAGCTCATTGGCTTAAAGAGTTTACGTAAATATATTTATTGATAAAAGACTAAATCGCATTAGTTAATTAAGAGATAAGTTATTGTAATCAATGGAGATAACAAAACTAAACTGCACAACAAAACAAAACTTTATTTTTTACTTCCTATTATTACATTCTTTTTTCTTTCTTTCTTTGATGATGATCTTTAATTGAATGAATTAGATTTTCTGTCTCATAATCTCTTTCCTTAAAATGCTAGGATAAGTTAATTTAAGTCATTCGCGATATAACAGGTAACACCAATCTTATCTCCCATCCATTCCACCTTTTAATTTAAGCACCGAAATTTGATTGATTAATGTCCCTTATATACAAGCTACCATGGCAAATTTTGGAGTTTTAGAGGAAGGTTTCTCCCTCTACAACTCTCTCGTTGGAAAACAAAGTGGTTGCCACAAATCAGTCAGCAGGAGAATTTTGTCGCGGAAAGGATGAAGAATGTGTTCGTTGAACGTGATGAATGTAAATTTAAGAAATGTGTGTCGTTTCGTCGTATGGAAAGTAAATAGATCGTAAATTTTAGATGGTTGTTCGGTGTGTAAATAATCGAATCATAATTTCGTTTCAAGCTAACTACTGTGTTTTTATCTGAAACGGTCAGACCGCTCGCACTATGGTTGAATTGTGCAATGCAAGTGTCAATTGGCGAGCGTCGAGATTTCCACAAAGACAGCATGCCTCAAATTGCGCCCGAAAATACCTAACGAGTCTCAGCCGAAACGTTAAATCACGCTTATCAAATCAGTTAACACGAAAGAACTCCAGGTTGCGTCGTCCCGCGCACGGTTCACGATATATGACGGGAGTGGACGAATTTTGCGACACGCAAATTTCGGTTATGGGTGACGAACGATTGCAAGTAACGTTCGTTGGCACGCTTTATTCGCTTTTAAGGGCTTTCGTTGGGTTCTCGAGAAGCAGATCATCATGGTATAACGGCAAGCACTCTGGACCAGGCAGATTTAAAACGTGTTATAAATCTGCCTGATTGTTTTGCGAGAAATTTTCTGATTGTTTTGCGAGAAATTTTCTGATTATTTTACGTGCGCTTGTCGAAAAAAAGATTTTGGCGTTCTTCGGGCCTGCGTAGCGGCGCGAAATCATCGCTTTGATATAGTCTAGTCGATAATTCTTGTGGAATCATTTGGTACGAGATGTTCAACAGCCGACAACAATGCTCGAAACAAACCTATTTTGTTGCGGTCACGGGTATTGTATTCATTCAGGACTTCCAAAGTGTTGGAGGTAGATGTGACTACTGTATAATCTTACATTACACGGCGAGTTACGGAGATGGTGAATTTATTATGTTCTTTCCGTTGCAACGTTTGTCCGAACACAAAACTAAGCGTTTCTCTAACACACGTAGCATGGAATGTGTAAGCTTTTTGAAAACGACGAATTGCTATACACTTAACTAACGCAATGCTATGAAGGAACGAACACAAACAGTTTCTAATTGTAAGAGACGTTAAAGATATTCCGATACCACGTCCGGAAATAGAAAAACGACACGTGATTCAACGTCCCAGTCAGCAGTTAGATTCCTGAAATTCCATTATTTATAATTCACTGTGAACTCCGGTTCTAAACAAGAATATGCGATAAATTATTTCGAAAATCCATATGCGAAACTTTCAGTACGCGAATATTTTCCGTCGCTACTTTCGATTCGAAATTTTTCCATATAAACATTTTGTGAGGTTGTGGAAGCAGCGATTTGCTTTGCTCTGTTAACATCAGTGTTTATTACATCACAATAAAACCAGAGTGAATGTTTCAACGCGGACAACAATGTCACTTCACAACTGCGATCGAATCTAGTGTTTGATATTCCGACGTTGACATATAAAGCATCCACGGAAATACCATGTACCATTAATTAATTAAGCAGCAATCGAGATAGTTGAGTCGCGTCAGGATGGCCGAGCGGTCTAAGGCGCCAGACTCAAGGGAAACCTTCCGTATTAATGCGGGGACGTGCATTATGGTCCACGATAGTGGGCGTGGGTTCGAATCCCACTCCTGACATAAAGTTTTTTTTTTATGTACGTGTGATTGATTGAAAATGTTTCTGTTAGTATGACGTATGTTTGCGCCTGGAAGACATTTTTTAATTCCTTTCGTCCGAAACTCTATTTAAAACATTTTATATTACAGCTTAAATTAATTATAATTGCTAAGTAATAAAGTTAAAATCTTAATTTTTATTTTAACTTAGAGAAAGTATACATTTTTAAGTTTAAATTTATACTTTCGCTAATATTTAAAATTAATATTTTCATTTCTTCCACCAGAGGGAGAAGTATATTTCCGGTTAGTCTGATGTTCACATTTCACAATCAAGTATGTGGAAATGACGATTAACACTATTATGCCATAAAGTCTCATTCACGAATATGGCAAGGATTGGTTTAAAAAGAGATATAATCGTCGTTTCGGTAAGTATTTGTATCTAATAACTAGATCTACTAATAACTTAGACAATTAAATCTTATGGAGAAAACTGAATATGAAATTATAGTAGATTCGTCAAAGCTATTTAAACGTGATTCAATCCCCCCAATCCCCCGAGCAAATCTCAGATAATATCCCAACTGTCTTATTCAGAGGTGTATTGTACCTACACAAGTCATCTGATAGAATCACAATACAAATAAACAGCTATTAAGATTTTTCATGACATTAATTAACAGTTTACTGAATTAACCTTCATTTTTTTTATACATATATTAATTAATGACTATTGCGGTCTATAGATTGTTTGGACGTTTAGTTGTGTACTAAAAATATAGTCGCTCGTTTCGGCTTTGAGGTGCAAGAATTGAAAAACTGTTGCAATGCCTCTTCGATATAAATATTACAATATAATTTGTAACATTCCGGTCTCCTTATTTAAAGAAATGAAATGTATTGTAATTAATACAGTAAAGTATATTTAAATATAAACTGGAATCGCATCACATCGAAGTTTTTCTGTTTCGGCAAATTTCCATTTTGAACCAGTTTTAGGGTGTTTTTTTTTTCTAAATTATACACAGATAAACATCATATTGTTAGATTTTTATTTTTAATGATAAAATTCACTTTTATGTAGGTAAAAAATGTTTATTAAATGGAATCATTTTGGATAATTTGGATTAAAACTAAAAGTGGAAGTATTTGAATGCAAGAGGTGAGAACTTTTCCATTTAAAAAGTTCTCTTTCTTGAGAACTTGTGTGAGGTATTTCAAGGAATCCTAAAGTTTTAGGATTCCTTTCTTATTATCAGCAAACAAGCCAATTCAAGAAATGAGAACTAGTGTCTCGTTCTGTCATCAGAAATAATGATTACAGTAATATAGAGACCAAGTTATTCTGTGATATGATTTCTCAAGGAATTTTAATAATCTACTTATTAATACTTTACTCTCTGTAATTACCAACAGTGTTATCCAAAGTAAAGATTTCCTTTTCCAATAATGAAACTAGTGATCTTGACCATGTCTTTCTTAATTATAAGCAATAAACAGAGATCAAGATTAAAATAATTCACTTTATTTACTCATACTGATTTAACAATGCATTTTGGATTGATAAAATATTTTCCAATCCCTCATCGGGCTTATTGTTTCAGTGCCCAAGGTCATTGTCTTTCTACCCAACTTCACATTTGTGACACCTTTTATTTCATTAAGAACCATAGTGAAGTCACGCCATGCTTTGTTGGGATGCAAACCATTGTATTACCTACTAGCATCCCCCATTGCGGCTTTGCCCGCTCTTATATACATATAGAACTTTGAAAATTTGAACTAATCATTCATTAATTATTTGTTGATAATCCACGTTGTATGTGAAAACCCGCTGTAATTTTGAAACTCCGAATAAGATTATCATTATCTTGCATGGTTTTCTGCAATCTTTCAATGAGTTCCCTTTTCAAAGTTGGGTTTATATTCGATCAGGCTAATATCTGGTCAGATTCAGACATGAAATAGATCTGTAAAAATTTAGGAGTGTCTTCTGGATCAGGAAGTAAACTGTCAATCAAATGATAAACTTCACCCTGGATTTTAAATGTAGGCACAAAATTCCCTTCTCTTATTTCTTTTGCTCCAAATGATGTCATTTGAAATAGTGTTGTACTGTCTAGAATTGTCTAAGAAATGTATAGAAAGAGAATCTGTTTTTAAAATCAAATTTTCAATGAAATCAGGAGGTTGTTCAAGAACAATTTTCTTCGCAGCACAGCAACATTATATTAGCATTAATTTTATTTTTAAGAAAAAGTTATTTTGCAAATAATCCACTGTTACCTGATGACATGCAAATTTTCCATTTTGTTTGGCTTTTCATGTTAGATATACTGTTGAGGGGAATGATATATATTTGTTCACTATACTCAATTGTATTCTGCAAAAATATAGTGTATTGCATTTCCAATGTTGTTTTCAAGGAAGGTAATAAAATGCAGTTATGCTAAATGTATTAAATGTAAGTTGGAATTGGAATACTTTCAGGTGTTTTTAGTGTTCTGACTAATATATGAAAAAACAGATTAATGGTTAGTTTTGTCATTTTTTCGATTTGAGTTTTGTAGGCTTGAGGAACTGTTGTTATTTAAATTTTGCCTGCAATTTTTACATGTGAATTGTTATTCTAAGGAAAGGATGGCAGAACAGATATTATGCAGTAGCTGCAGCTTGGTTATGGGCTATTGCATCATACCAAATAATTCACACAAGTTGAAGCAGCAGTTGAACAGAGTGAGTATTTAACATAAAGTCCACATAGCCAGTCTCATATTAGTGTCTTCTTTCTGTGGGATATTTTTAAGAGTATGATACAATTCATCAAAGCTTGGAAATGGCATTCTGAAATAATTAAGAAGTTTTTGGTTTGTCCTTTCAAAGCTGGTTAAACAACATATTAAAAAGTTCCTTGTTATAAATAACTGTTCACAAATGGATGTACTTAATACCATATATTTTTCTTTTTAAGAATTGAAGTCCCAGGAACTTTATTATTGCATTGTAATGAGCATCCATGGTAACTGACCAACATAAAACAAACTCTTCCATCTGACTGCAGTGCATCTGCTGAAAAAACAATGCACTGTGAACCACCATTCTGCAGAACTTCTGACCTAAATTGGGCCTTAGTATGAAGATCATCTTTAAATAAAGTTGAAAACATGAACATTGATAAAAATTGCAAAGATACAATAGTATTTCAGTTATTCAAATTGATTCAGTCTGCAGGTGCAGGTGATTCAGACAATGAAAGATTCAGATAAGTGGATTTACAAATAAAAAATGAAATTGCAGGTTACCAGCACAGTATTGTACATGTACAGTATTTAGCATCATACAGATCTGTCAGAGCAAGCTAATTTCTATGGTATAAGCAAAGTGCAGCACTACGTCACTGTTTTTCTTAGGCTACATCCTACGTGGCAGCGTCCAGCGACCGCGAGCAGAAAAAATCTTTGTACACGCATTCCAACTCATGAGCGACTTCTGTCCGGAGTGGACGCGTGTTGTTTACAAAATGACGGTGAGATGACTTTGTCGAAGACTTGCTACGGAAAATATAACAAGCATTAAAATGGTAAATTTGACAGGTAATTGTTATCACTAACTAGACACACAACAAATATAAAGAATCTTCATAGAATAATAAGTTAAAAAAGTTTTATTTTTAAAATGTTAGATTTACAAAATCAGAAATTATTAAATTACATAAAAGATTATTAAAGTACATACAACATATATACACAATTTATTTGTCATTCTGTTTTCATTCATCTACAAAATCAACCATTTTCTTCAATGGAAGCATGAGCAGTGGAAGCGACGATCAAACTGGCTTGGTATCTGCTTCCTGCACATGCGTGTAGAAGCATCATCTGGTGACCACCAGATGATGCTTCACACTATGTGTGCATCCAGAGTAACAACATCTGTGCATCCGGATGCACAGATTTGTGCATCTGGATTGCACAGATTTGTGCATCTGGATTGCACAGATTGTGATGCCGGATGCACAGATGCATCGGCAAAAACAAATGGCGTGCATCCGGAGTAACCACATCTGTGGTTACTCTGGATGCACGCCATTTGTTTGAACCAGTTTGTCTGCTCTGCTTGGAAGCATGCTTGTGGTTGCTGGATGCTGCCATGTGGAACATAGCCTTAATATCTGAAATAGTAGCTGCTTCCACAAATTTTTCAGCAATACATTTCCCCAGATTCTCTTAATGCATGGATGATCTCAAGATTTTCTGCTATGGTAAAAACAACTCATTACCATGAGTTTGCAAACACAGTGTAAACATAAGAAAATTGTAGTGTAATGCCAGTGGGAGAGAGAGAGAGAAAAAGGAGGGCAAGTGGTAGTTTAGATTATTGGACATTTGGTTAATTGGCATTCAGATAATTGGAATTTTACCATATATAAATAAATTTAATTGATGCACAGAAATAAAAGTACAGTAATGTGCCCATATTTTCAGCTATCTTCACAAATAGTGAAGAATATATTGACTGAATAGCATTGCTATGGGCTATGAAGATAACATACCAGAATAAACATCAAAGATAATAAATTTGATTAATTCAATAGTTCTGATACATTTATATAAAATCTCCATCTGTAGCAATATCATTCAGTCAAACTGTTCTCCATTGTGCCTGAAGATGGTAAATATAAATATGATATATATCATTACATTGTGTCATTACATTATTTGTATGTAGCTAAGTTTTAAGTATAAGCTTCTAATAAGATATTTTTCATTTTTTACAGTTAACTGAGAATCTATGGATTCACACAACATTTTGTTTATTGATTCAAGACAAAAATAAATTATATGAGATTTAATAAGAAAGGAAGATGACAAAGTTTTTACATTTTTTTGTCATTCTAGTATCTTTAAACAATTCCTTCCAGGTATGAAAAACATGATTATTTAATTATGATTTAGTAAAAATTATATTTACAAAGTAAATGATGTACTTTTAAATGTTTAGAATTTGAATTTATGATTTTATTTTTTGATTATATTTTTTACATTGTAAATAAATTACTACCTAACTAACATTCTTCACAAAAATTTTAACTTTGCAATTAGTTTATCACTTATTTTAATCTTGTTTTTGAAGATAAAACAATTAAATGTTAATGTTTATTTTTATTTTATTTTTCAAACTACATAAAAGACAAGAATAAATTTAAAAAGTTAAATTTGTTCAAGCATACAACTTATTTTTTAAAAATTGCATTTATATTGGTTTTATTTTATCTTCTAATTTTTTCTAAATAGCAATTTCTTGCATAGCCAATCAACATGATTAATTTTAAATTATTCTGTTTTATAAACATAGGGATGTCAATAAATTATGTAATGCAGACTGGATGAGCATGTTGATAATCATTACAATAGTATGAGGGTATATACAAAGATTAAGTATGCTGTATCTTAACCCATGAATAACAATGATTCATTTTTGTTTCCAAACAGCAAACTATACTGTTTGTATTTAATTAATAAAATAGCATGGGATACCAAACATTATGCTATGTATTATAGCGTAGTACAACTAAGGGACTCGATTGAAGGTGTGTTACATAATTCTGGGGATGGGCATGTACAATGTGTCAAGGAGCAATAAAGGATGGTTGGTGGTTGAAAAGAATAAATATGATATTACATAATTTATGCACAATCCCATATATAGATTCTTAAAGATCTTCATAATTATTTAACTGTAACAAAAACCAATACAACTCATATTGAAACATAAAAGGAATTTAATACAGACTATGTTATGTGTATATTAGTGGTACAATTTTGCCACACACCTGCTAATTACATCATACGTCATTATACTTAAGTTTTTGAAGTGTCATGGTACGTCATGTTTTTAAATATTTAAATATAAATTATAATGATTTATCTCTATGGGATAATAAATCCTGGAGTGAAGTGTTACTTGAACCAACAAAAATATATGTTGATTCCTAATATAATTTTCTGAAATTACATTGTGAAAGCATATGAATTTTATTTCACAAACTACAGTAGACCCCCCTATAACACGGATTTGTATAACACGGCGAAAAAATTGCGATAGTGTTTGTATAACACACTAAAAGAGATTCGTATAACACGGTAAAACGTCATTGCTGACTCGTGTCGCAACAGGATTGGTCAAATCTGGACCAATAGTGGACATTGCATAAACCGTTGAGTTTAAACGAGCAGCAGACCTACTAAAAACCATTTATTATTTAACGGCCATAAAAATTACATTTATATTAATGATGTCTCCAAAGTTCAGTAAATTTTTCACAGAAAAATAAGTTATCAGGGAACACGCGCACGTTGTTTGATGAGCTGCTCCGCGACGAAAACAAGCTTAAGCAATGGCATCTTCGAATGTGTGCACTTGGTAAGTAATCCTACAATTTTTTGTTTATAGCATAGTTTGTATGGATTATTCCCAAAAAATTTTATGTGATTTGGAAATGTTGAGTCAAATTAGTCTAGAATTGATTAATTTTATGGAAGAAAACCTTTCAAACAGCTGTAGCCACTAAACTGCGCACATGCTGGGCTGTGATTGGCTCATGTATTCAGTGCCGGCCCGAGGCAAGTTTTAGGGTGGAGTGAGATCCTATTATGGTGCCCGGGCCACCCCCGGGCACCATAATAGGATCTCACTCCACCGTGGGTCACATAATAGGATCTCACTCCACCGTGGGTCAAGTGCATGGGCGGTGGAACCCCGCCCATGCACTTGACCCACGCACATCTCAACAGATAAGGCCATTCACATACTGGCCACATGCTTGCAATTAAAATATAGAAAAGTGAAAAATTATTTTTTCCTTTACTTTTTATACCACTGAGGCGGCCTTACCATAGGGCCTGGAGCGGCTGCTCCATTCGCCCTATGGTAGGGCCGGCTCTGCATGTATTTAAGTGACTAGTACAACACGGAATTCATATAATATGGAACGTATCTACTGTGTTATAGGAGGGGTCTACTGTATATAACAAGTAACAGTCAAATATTAGTTTTATATATGTTTAACAGATAGTAATTTTATATATATAATTTTTATTTTTAACAGAAAGAAGAAATGAATTCAAAGACGACAAAAATATTTTTCAGACCTTTATTTATAATAGTCAGTTTTGTCATCATCTGGTGTGTAATTTATCTTCCAATCAACAGCTCCCGTTCTCATCCACCAGACACTAGGTGGATGTTATATAATAGAGATTTACATCAGTATGTTCTTCCGGAAAATGTTACAACAATATTAGAACCTAAATTAAATTGTAGAAATAATTCTTCAAAAAGTTTATTTTTACTTGTAATTGTATGTTCTTCCGTAACAAATTTTGCACCTCGTCAAGCCATTAGAGAAACTTGGGCTACTGCTAAGGTTCCCGAAACCATGAAAATTCTATTTCTTTTGGGTAAGTCAGAAAATGACACACAGAATGCTGCTGTAATGGAAGAAAATGCAAATTATTCTGATATAATTCAAGAAAACTTTTTAGATACTTATAATAATTTAACTGTGAAGTCAACAATGCTGTTAAAATGGGTGAACGATAGTTGTCGCCAAGCCAAATACGTAATGAAGACAGATGATGATATGTTCGTTCATTTGCCAAATCTAGTTAAATTTTTAAAAAATAGTACTCAAAAACATTTGTTAGTTGGTTGTCTCATAAGTGGTGCCGTTCCCATTAAAGACTGGCATTCCAAGTGGTATGTTCCAGATAATGTATATTCTGAATATACGTATCCAAATTACTTATCTGGGACAGGTTATGTAATGTCAGATAATATTGTATCTACATTATATAATACTGCTTTAAATACTCCTTTGTTTTACTTAGAAGATATTTTCATTACAGGAATATGTGCTCGTAAAGCCGGCATCAAACCGGTAAATAACAACGGATTTAAATTCTATAAACGTAAAAATGATCCATGTATTTTTCAGAAAATAATTACAAGTCACAAAATGACACCGTCTGAACTTCGCGAGATATGGAAGAAAGTCAACAGTCCGTCCATTAAGTGTGTCCGAAAACGTTTAGCCACATTAAAACACCGTACTTAGGGCTTTCCATTTTTATCTTGCCAAATAGAAAGGATTTTTATAATTGTTATTAGTGATCTATATTATGTCTGGATTAAAAAGTAATTACAGCTATGATTAAATATATCAAAAAATTAATGACATATTTTTGAGAATGTTAAATATAACGAAGCTTATAATATTGATAGATTGTTAAAGGAATTTTTCTATGCAAAGGCATTTATCTTGCAAAAATAATCTTTTAAATAGCAGAGAAAGTATATTATAAAAGTGTTCATCAAATAGTCTTTCCAATAATAATCTAATGAATTAAATACCATAACTGTAAATTCAATTTACAGAAGTTTCTTTTAAATATAATAAATATTGCTTATTTTACTTGATTTTAAAATATTTACACTCGTATATGATATATATATATTCTATATTCTAAAAATCAAGTAAAATAAACAAAAACAAATGACATAAAATAATTTCTATATTATAACTGTATTTTAATTGTCCAATTAATGTTTAAAGAGAAATACTCTTTAAATTTAATGTCTGAGCTTAATAATAATACAAATTGGCTTGTTAATGTTATATAACAAATGCTCCTAATGTCCTACACTTAAAGTGTTTTAAATATATTTAAGAATTTGGCTTATTTTGTCACTTAATAATTGCAACTTCATATACTTATTTTACGATGTATTGTAAAAATTAACTAGTACTTAATATTGTGTGAAAATATATCCTTTGTAAGTAGCTTACTTAATTTTTAATAATTCAGTGGACTGGTTTTTGGACAGATATTTGTTTTTGGTTAATTTAGCATTGAATATTTGTTTTTGGTTAATTTAATTTGAACCTGTGATAAAATATTATTATTGTTAATATTTAGGATTTTGTCTGTTCAGTTTTATATGTATAGAAGCTCAATTTCTAAGCTTATATGCCATAATATACTGTGCATACATACATACACACAATTCTTAATGCAAGATAATATAATCCTGAAATTAATATATTAATTAAAACATTGTAATATAGCATTGTATTATATTAAATACTGCAAAAGAAAGTTGTAGTGCAGTATTATTATAATTCAGGGTTTAAATTTTGTTTTTTAATTGTATTTTATCTTTCTAGTAATATTGTGTTTGTACTTTTTAAAGTATCAAAAATTATCTAGGAATGCATGTTATAAATTATTGTGTCAGTATAAGTCATAAATCATGCTATAATGTTAAATAGGAATTAGAACACAAAGAATGGCGAGTAACATTTCCAATTGTCAGTCTCATAATTTGTAGAAATGTTTGAATCCAAAATTTTATTTACTTAACTACATTTTAAATTTTCACTAAATTCACTATCAGAAGCTTGAAAGGAACAAATTATCTCAAAGTTCAATATTCAAAAAATTATTTCAATAATAGAATGAACTTCTGATTGTGGAGATGTGAAAAATATTTGTATGAACATATCTTAGGTTTAGTTGTTTATTCTTTCTTTACATTAAAGATATATATCCGCAGTGGGCAAGCAAGAGTTCAGTGAGAGCCGAAATGTAAGTTTTGCAAAATGCATGGGAGCCGCAGTTCTGTACTTTTTTATTCTGTACCGTGATTTTATTATATAATATAAATATAATATAAAACAAATATTGAATTTTTTTAATANGGAAATAAAATTGTAAAAATAATAATAAATAGCAGAAATTAACACTTTCAGCAAGAGCCGCATTTGCCCATGTCTGATATATATCTTAATATAACAATAAAGTGATACAACATATCAAAATTTTAAAAATTAATTTAATATAAAAGTAAAATATGCTTTAATGCTTTCGATTTATAAATGTTTTAATGCATTTATATATTTATATATATTGACTCAGTTATTCTGTATTACATATACTGTATAACCGAGAATGTTATTTTTGTTATCTTCTGTTGCTTTCTCTATCATACTTTGAAATTTTGTGTTAAAATAAAAAGTAATGCATTAATTAAGGAAAATTAGAAAAAAAAAACAAAGGAAAAAACTAGAAATAGCAAGTATTCAAGCCCTTTCAAATTGACATGATTCATCATCAGGAATGCTTATAAATGTTTAAGTAGAATGCTTTCATCAAGAAGGTGATCAAGTAGTTATAAACTGATAGCAGTTATGTTACAAAAGAAAATAATGTTTTATGATTTATTTGTAATCATAGTAACTGCTATTTGTTTATATTTGCTAGCTCTCACCTTTCTGACAATAGAATTCTATTTGGACATTCATAGCTGAGTTGTGATAACAAGTGCTCAAACACTTCCAAGTTATTTCTAGTTTATTGTAATATTTTTCTAATTTTTCCAGTATTAAAACATTAGTTTCCATTTTATCTATGGAGTTCTGCATTAATTTTATCTTTTATACTTAAATAAAGAAATCATTTTACTTATATTATCTGATCTGATTTATTAAGAATCTCTCTTAAAAAACTCTCTCTAAAATAAGTTCTTAATATCAAAAAGTATTAAGTGTATTTGAATATCATTTAATATTTTATAATATTTATTTGGATATTGTGATGATTTCTCATCAGTCTTTGTAAACAGATACAATTTTTATGCTCATTTCTCAGTTTAGTAAGCTGTAATTTTTGCATGTAATGGTTTCCATATAGCCAATAAACCATTCAGTTCCATAGAACGTGTGATAGTAGCATATTCATTAAATATATTAATCATTTGGTCTGTTTATGAAATTATGATTGGGACGTAATAATATACATGTTGTGTTTAATTAATATCATAAACTGTATGTTATGTCTCATAAACCAGATAGAATATAAACATTGAAAAATAATAATAATTGTTTCATGAGTAATAAAATATTTAAATATTATTTCCATAATTTTTTTATGGAATATATATTTTTATATGTATTAAGTTACTTAGCAGTTCCTGTTATGCTGATTTTCAGATACATAAAACAATTTTGATTTATGTAGCATCCTTGTGCTTTAAAGAAAATTTTTGCCTCTGTCCATTAACATAGCCCTAGCAAGTCATTGTCTTGTTAATAAATTCTATTTTTGATACTTTACTGGTGATTGAAAATTGAATTCTCATTAACTGGGAAATATGAAAATTGTGTGTAGATTTTATTTATACTTAAATATTTATTGACTATTATACAAGTAATCTTCCTACAATAATATATCCTAGTAATTTATAAGTTAATTTTCTGCATTTATTAAATTCATACATTCCTATAAGCATAGTGTAAATTTATATGTAAACTTTAGATAACAATTAAGGGCCAGATACATAAAAATATTAATTAAAATTAACAATTAATAAAACTGCAAGGATGATGATGTGTGGTTTATCAAACATCAATAATAGTCTTAAGAAACTTTTGATTTGAATGACGAGGCATTGTTTCTCAATTTATGTTAATTGCAAGAATTTTATTCGTAATGAAGTTTCGATAAACAATACAGATTATCGTATGTGCAACTTTACCATCCATTAATATTTTTATGCATTTTCCCTAAATTGTTTAATGGGAGTTTTATAAACTGTGTATCATACATTTGAATCTCAGTTATGTAAAAATTTATTTGCTACTTAATTTTACTTTATAAGTAAGATTCTTTTCATAATTTCCTAATCATTACTGTATTTAGTAAGTTCTTAGATATATTAATCTAAGCATTGTCAGCTTATATATATGTATGTTACTTTTTAAGCATTGTGAAAGCACTTATATAATTTAAGTGATGATTTTAATTTTATTTACTTTATGTATCTGGTTACATATCATTGATGTAACTTATTGCTTATAATAAAAACAAAAATTCATTAGTTTTAAGGTCAATAAAATGCCAACAGTAGGCCATAATGAAATTTCCATCCAAACTGTAGGCAGAAATTTGTTTCTGTAGAGAATTTGTTAATGAAAATATCTATTTTTGTGTATTTGTGTTGAATAATTTTGTAAATGTTTTTTGTATGGTATGCCATATATCTAAAGATCTGTTCTCATATATTTACGGTATTTCAATCTTTATCTTCACAGAAAAGAAGACAAAAAAAAAAAAAAAAAATGGAATTTCTCCACTAATGTATTGTTTGTCAGCCATATTTTCAATGTAAAATTTTGTTATCTTTCTTATTTTGTAGGAAGAATGTTTATAAATAAATGATCTCATATTTTAGTTGAAAATATTGTAATTTGCATGATATATAATTTACATTTATAAACCATAAATTTTATTGTTGGATTTAAGCTGTTTTGAAGTGTAAGTTAATGATAATAAATACTGAAAAATTATTTATTAATGATATTTATTGTAAAATTTATTAAAATGAATTAGACAGTACTATATGCATATCATGGGGTTTTTTTTCATTTTGAACACAATTAGTGACGTAGGTAGTTTGTGCTGCCCGGAATTTTCGAGTTTTCCACTCACCAGTACAATATACACATCAGACAAGAAAATAGAGAGAAAAAGAGAGATAAACTGCTGTCTCCTACTATGCTACTGATGAACACAAGGATCTTTACTTTCTCAGTTGTTAAGTATACTCTACATAACAACGGAAAGTATAAATATTAGTCGTGTAGAATTTGACTCTCCGGTGTTTTTGTAAAGATTGATTATTCATTTTTTCGAATTTATCAACATCTGTAGTTGATGCCTTTGTTTATTTTGAAGTATTTTGCAAAAAGGTATTAAAATGAAGTTAGTGAAAAAAATGAAAATGTGGGTGTAACAAAGCAAATGTAGATAAGGCGTGGTGTTAGTATACGGACAAACAATACGGAAATGACATAAATTCAACCTGACAAAAGGTACAAAAAAAAAGATATAATAATCGACACAAAACATAAAAAAAAACAAAGTAGTATATTCAATTTCTATGGAGAAGGTCATTTCGAATGGAAAGTTTCATGAAAACAATTAATTGAAAAGTGACCATCCTATTAAACCAGTACTTAGAGAAATGGGCTATTAAAATATAATGAAAGAATCGGCAAGTTGAATTTAATTCTTAATAATTTTAAGTCAGGACACTCAAGAACTTTTGTAGGGTCTGGGGTTAGAGCGTGCCTCTTT